CATTTTTATCTGCAAAATAATAGTAATAAAAGGCAAACTTTCTAGGAAAAAATGCATCAACAAACCAGCAATATCTATAAGAAATCATAAAAGAACACCCGAAAAATATTTAAAGCATTTTACCCTTAGTTTATGGATTCAAGTTGACCTGGCTGCATGGTTATCCCTGTTGTTTTCCCCATATTCTCCCTGGCATATGTAACTAAAACCACCAGGGTGGTCTGTGAAGCCTGCGTAGTCCAGCTTGGATGAAATCAATTTTGTTCTGACCCATTACAAATGCCTCTACTTCTGACCAAAATCACAGGGGTGCACTTCTGCCATTCAGTCCCTGAGTAAAGTGCACGGGGTGTTAACCTGGACGGTTTGCCTCTTTCTTTGGTCTCAGAGCATCTCGGGTGCAGTGTTCGTCACTAGCACTGGGTTATTCCAGAAAAAATAAGAAGGTTCAGTAGTAGGAAGAGGTCAATTTTCCTCATTTAAGATATAAATTTAATATGATCCAAATAAAAATATCTGCAGGATTTTTGATAATTTGAGAAGCTAATTCTAAAGATCATATAGGAAAAAATTAAAAAGCAGAAACATTTAGGAAATTTTTTAAACAGCAAAGACTAACCCTACCAGATATGAAAACACATTATAAAGCTCCAGTAACTAAATGTGATACTGCTAAAGTATATATAGATATAAATAGTAATGAACTAGGAAAAAAATTAGAAATAAACCTAAATATGTTTAGGAATGGAATAAATGTGTTGCCCATATATATACACAAAAGGAAATTACAAAGTATTTTATCTTCCATTCTGGGGATTGAACTCAGGCCCTTTACACTTAGCTACATCCCCCCAGTCCTTTTTATTTTCAGATAGGCCAGGCTGGGCCAAACTTGCTACCCTCCAGCCTCAAGCCACCCACCACCACGCCCAGGCCCAAGGGATGTATGTTAGGCAGAAGCAAAAACAACCCAGATGAAAGCAGGTCTGCATAGAATCTCCCAACAGTCAGACTTTCCTCTAGCTTGCTTTCAGCTCTTTCAATGTCCACTAAAAATACCTGTGGACTGCTGAACATGCATGCCCTCATGCCTACACATTTGACATTTGTTGATTTTCCTCCACTTTCTTGCATTTCTTTTTCTTCTCTTTCACCTGGAGTCTTCAGGCTGATGTTAACCTCCACGCTCCTTTCTGCCTATGAAGATCTTTCAAAGCTCCAGACACGGGAGCACACAATTGTAATCCCAGCTGCACAGGAGGCCAGTTCAAGGCCAGCTTGTGCAAAGAAAGAAAGTGAGAAAGAGACAGACAGAGAGAGGGAGACAGAGAGAGACACAGAGAGACAGAGACAGAGAGACAGAGAGAGACAGAAACACAGAGAGACAGAGAGAGACACAGAGTCAGAGCGAGACAGAGACAAGACTGTCATTGAAAGAGGACATTGAAAGAGCCAAAAGCAAGCTAGGGGAAAGTCTGACTGTTGGGAAATTCTATGCAGACTTGTTGCTTTCAGAGAGACAAAGAGAAAGAGAAAGAGATTTTTTAAGGCCCTGCCCTTTTAGAGCCTCACCTAAAATCCTAATAACTAATGACCCATTCCTGAGCTGGTTTTTTCACCATGGGTAGTATTATTGTATCTGTCTCTATCATGAATTTACCATATTCTTTTAAAAATAGTTTTAAAAAACAATTTTATTTCAGAAATATCCAGAGAACCCATTTTAAACTGCTTAGCTTTCAAAAGAGCTATCCAATGATTATTTATTCTCTAATACTTTTTTGTTTTTTGC